GGACTTGTCTATAATAATCTAAAACAATACGACAATTCACTGATCGATCTCAACAAATCATTAGAGATTGAACCAAACAATGCGTTGGCATTGAGTCGAAGGGGACGTGTCTATAATAATCTAAAACAATACGACAATTCACTGATCGATCTCAACAAATCATTAGAGATTGAACCAAATGATGCGTGGGCATTGAGTACAAGGGGACTTGTCTATAAGAATCTAAAACAATACGACAAATCACTAATCGATTTCAGCAACTTGTTAGAGATTGGACCAAATAATGCGTGGGCATTGAGTCGAAGGGGACATGTCTATAATAATCTAAAACAATACGACAATTCACTGATCGATCTCAACAAATCATTAGAGATTGAGCCAAATAATGCCTGGGCATTGAGTCGAAGGGGACTTGTCTATAATAATATAAAGCAATACGACAATTCACTGATCGATCTCAACAAATCATTAGAGATTGAGCCAAATGATGCGTGGGCATTGAGTATAAAGTCTCATGTTTATACAATGCTTGAACAGTATGACAATGCATTGAATGACGTTAACAAAGCATTGGAAATCGAACGAGATGACGTGCTTGCGCTGTCTGTAAGAGGATATCTTTATAATGAACTCAAACGGTATGAGCGTGCATTAAGCGATGTCAACAAAGCATTAGAAATTGAACCGAATGATGAATATACATTGATCGTGCGGGGTCATGTTTATTGTAAACTTGAGCAATACGAAAATTCCTTAAATGATCTCAACAAATCATTGGGGATCGATCCAAGCGATGAATGGGCATTAATGTTCAGGGGTGAGACATATTACATGTTGAAACAGTATGACCGTGCTTTGATTGATCTAAACAAAGCGTTGGAGATTGACCACGATCAAGTCGGCGCATTGACGATAAGGGGAAACGTGTATCTCGATCTGGAAGAATACGACAGTTCATTAAATGATCTCAACAAGGCGTTAGCAATAAAGCCAAATAATGCACGTGCATTGCGAATACGAGGCAATGTTTATTTCAGTCTCGGAGGATATGGTAATGCATTGACTGATCTCAACAAGTCATTGGAAATTGAACCAAATGACGCGCATGCATTAAGAATAAGAGATCAGGTATATGACATGATAAGGGTCAATGTGGATATTTTAAGATATTATGCTGTTTGAATATATTATAACTAAATAGAGCTGCCTTCAATTTCACATGTTCTACAATTCAAGAATTCTTAGAATTTGATGATATTTTTCTATTTCGATGTATGATTCAACTTTTTGCTAATAGTAACTAGGCTAGTATACATATCAGGGATTAGTACGCAAATATGATTTTTTTTTTAACCCAATCATACAAGTTTATAACTACAGACATTCATACGTCTCATCCCGACATTACTGTTCGACAGCTTATTCGAGTAGAAAGCATAATGGCATCTTACCCTTTTTATTTACGTAAGAAGAAATATTCATACGTTTGATATTCTATTTTTAACATAATAATATGTTTCAATGTATTGAAACTATTGTTTTATAAAAGCAAATAAAAATAGGTTCGTTCATGAACAAATTGATGCTACAATAAAATGGGTTTTCAATTATATGATTAAAGTTTTATATGTTATTGCGATGAAATTTCGGTGACTCATCAAGTTATAATACAATATCACGTTATTTCAAAAAATGTAATGACGAGATTTGTATCATATCAGGACGAGTTATTTGTGACCCGTATCCTGACGAGATAGTGGTAGTCTTCAGCGAGATTTATAAAACTACAGGTGATTTCACCGTAAGAATTTCAAATTTTTAAATTTGTCATGGACAGTCTCAATCGCTGGGCAATTATCGATTTTACTCTCTTTATTGCAAATATTTTACTCAATGGTATTCATATTGTTATTGTTATTAGATGCTGTCAATAATACTGATAAGCACACAATTATAATTGAATCCAATATAGATATTTCGTAGCAGCTAACTTTAACGAGATAATCAAGTTACATGATTATTGATTTAAATGCTAGAACAAACTCCATGTAAGGTCCAGCAAGACGTAATTAAAATGTGAATCATCAAACTCGGCAAACACGCCATCGACAGAACACACCGGTGCCGCTGCGGTAGGTTTACAGTAATTGTCCAAATTGACAACGGCCTTACCCATCTATAAGTAGTAATAGTTAGTACGATGTAATACTTTTGATTTTACAATATTGCTATATCTTGTTCTGTAATTACCAGATCATCTTTGTCTCGACCATAATCACGATCCCAAACTTCGACATGGAGCTTGTGAGGTCCCGGATAATACTTGAAGAAGAAAGTTTCACCCCAATAAGTGTTTAAAGTGTTTTTTTTAACAGTCGTTGTTTTTTTAGAATTTCCATCAATCCATAACCTAACATACGGGTCGCCTATAGAATTAATGATGGCAAAATTTCAGTCGATACAATACAATTTGTTATTTATTCGAATATAAAATAATCCTTACTGAGGTCGGCTGGTAAGGTAAAAGATAGCGCATTACAATTAGTATAATAAAAAGTGGTTAAATGAGACGAATTGACAAGTTAATATAACCCACCTCCTCGATCTTTGTCAGCCAATTCCTCACCATCAACTTTGATGTAAGAAACAAATATTGTAGGTTAATATCCTGATACTGCGTATATGATTTTCGAAAAGCCTCTGATACCTACGGACAACAACTTTGACTGAGCCAATAGCCTTTTTCGCATCGACGTGACTCAATAGACAGAGAATCGCAAACAAGAAAATTATAAAGGTAAATTTGGAAGCCATTATTTTAATAACTTGTTTGTTGGTATATATTAGGGTTGCTACTTCTCTGACCAGGCTCAGTTGTTTCGTTCCTGCTTTTATATATATATAATCAATACAATTGTCGCTGCACACTGGTCTATGTGTCGACTATGAAATTTGCCTTTCTGAGACGTATTTTGTCTACAACTACAAAATTGGTATTTTGCGGCATTTAACACATACTTTTGTATATACTGTCGGGAATATTGTTTGGGACCACAAAGAAATGAATGTATCTTATTGCTGTATTAATGAAGCGTAATGTCGCGCTTGTGGCTGCTTGTGGCTTTTTCTATTAGGAATTTTCCCTGGTAAATTCATAATCTATTTTTAGATATTTTCGGGGGTCTGTTTTGGGTTCACTGCTGATCACTTATATATACTTTTGTAAACTGTAATACAATAACTGTCGCGCTTGCTGATCTCCCAATCACTTAGCAGAATAAATTCACCAATGTTGTTTGTGGCACAAAAAAATGTAATTAGATGATCTATAGGATTATATTTAAGGGGCTAAAAGTTCTATTTTTTCCATATTAATTGTCACGGTTGACGCCTATCAAACGACGGAACGAATATAGTTGTAGTCATAATAAGTCGAATAAAGTTGTGAATAAAGGGTTGTCTGTAAACGAATGAAAATATTTAACACTATTTGCCAAATATTACTGACCACGATACTTTTCAAAGTTATAGAATTAACATAGTAAAGTTTGTCCTTAATTCGCTTGTACACAATAGATAACAGAATCAATTGTATCAAATTCCCAAATGCGACACAAGAGGGATTGACAATACTGCCAGAACAGACTAGCAATACAAATATACATCGTAGATACTCCATAAAATTCTTGTATAAATGGGAAAGTGTTATTTCCTATGTGTAAAGATGCACACAGCATGTGGGTGGATGTCTTAAGAGCAGCGCACAGTACTTCAGCAACGCATGCATTTGATTGAACTTTGAGGCTAAACCAAGCTTGATGCAGTCGTTCAATAGAGTTAAAATACACAATTAAATTTAACATTGATTATTGTGCAGTAATTCCCGTAGTCACTTATGCACGTTTAGCCTTAGCCTCATGTGTCGAACATTCGTCGGTTATGAGCATCTTGTTCTAAATAAACTTTTGCATTACATTATTTAGCAAAACTTTTAACTGATTTGTGTTACTAATACATGTGATGACGCAGAATTTTAACAGGAACAAAATTACCCATTTTATCGATAAAGACTGCATAGGTCATGGCGCATTTGGTGTTGTCCTCAAAGCAAAGGCAGTAACATCTGGCATTACCCATTGCATACAAATAATTATTATTAGAACAAAGATTATTTATTTACTGCTTTGTAAAAAAAAAGATTAGCTTGTAAAGAAAAACACTTGATGGTCTTTAATTACGCCAATATCGATTTGTTACGAGAGTGCTTATCTACGCCACCCATCGAACTACAAAGATAACGATTCCAAGCACTGTACTTCCTTGGCCATCAATGTCTCTGGATTAAATCTTATTGAAAACGTGTGGCGTCTAATATAAAGAGGGAAAATAAACCAATTAAAGAGCTGAAGGGGAAAAATGGAACCGTTTCTCTTCCGAGTTAGCAGCAAAATTGATAGACAATATGAAACGTCGTGTAATCGCACTTATAGATGCTTACTTGAACGAAGATGGCTTATAACAGAGTATTTTCTGGGACCAGTTCGTCGACTATGAAGTTTGCCTTTCTGAGACATGTTCTGTCTATCGCTATAAGCTATGCAATGCCAATGTACATATATGGTTTGATTATCATAATGACGGAGAATAGTGTAGTAATGGCGGTGATAGTGATGATATGTAAAGCGGTATAACATTATCGGGAAGATTGTTTAGAATCAAAAATGATTGCTATACACAGTACACTGAATCGCGCTCTATTTTTAGATGTTTCGAGCTTGATCTATTTCCGTCTTTGACGAGATTGCTGATCAATTATTTGCGGACATAGAACCAACAGATCGGGTGTAATACAATAATGCGATCGACCAATCATTCAACAAAGATAAATTTTTATCCCACACACAAAATCGGTAAATTAAACTGACTATGATCATAATGAAAGTTCTATTTTGCACAACCTCGTGTTCATACACATTAGAGTGCGCTCTATAAATAGACAAATTATAAAAAACGGGCTTATGGGATGTTCACAAAATTATTTTTAAACTGGTATGCTCTGAAGTCATAGTCATTTAATCATTGCCTTTTTCATGTACAAGATATCATAGTATAAATTTTGCCACGGATTGCATGTATCAACCGCAGTTTCGCAAACAATTGATAACAGAATCAATTGTGTCAAATTTCAAATGCAAGAATGTCTCACAAGAGGAATTGTGAAGACAATACTGGAGTGATACCAAAGTTAGCTCAGTATACTTATCTCAACCGTCTTTAACATTGTTCAAAGAAAAACTATTAATAAACGCACCTAGCGTACAACCGACAGAACAGTAACGACAGTACAAATACTTGCTTAGCACAAATATGCTATACATTGTATATCGGTCTAGCCTCAAAACCCCGTCTGAGTTGACAATCAGTAAATACTCTTGTAAATTGTTGCACTCAGACATCAATAATAATATTGTCGGGAATTTTGTATACCGTTTTCTTTTGTTTCTGACTAGTTATCTTGTGGAAATGCTATTTAGCTATGTGTAAAAGTATGGTAATTGCTTATATACGATTTGACGAAGATAACTTAAGTTTCTATGCCTCCAATAAGCTAGGTAATACAGGAATGATATTAGTCGCAAAATATTAACTGACTTAATCGTAAACTCTAAGTTCAACTCTGTCTTGACCCTATTTTTTTAATTGCAGTGCAAATTAATTTCTAGCGTTTTTTTAATGCAGACGCATTTAAATTTCGGATAATGTGGAAATTACTGTATTTTTTGCATTACAAATCATCCCAAGCCTGAAATTAAAGTTTTTTTTTCTCGCTTGTCTCTGTTAATGTATTAACTTCTTTATGTTCTGAGAGTTCGATGTAATGTAAAACAAATTTTATTTAATGCCAAACTAAGAACATTTAGTTTCCATAGTTTTTATCATCCGCATCTTTTTTCTATGTATAAAATAGACATTCTTGCCGCTCGCTTTTTTCGAAATTTACATAATAATCTTAAAAACTAATAGTTATAACTTCAGAATAGTCTGTGTTTTGTAATTTTTCCGCCAAGTTTCTAAAGACTGTGAACTATATTGTGAATGTTGCAATAATTTTGCTCATCGTGGACACGTTTTCCCCCCCCCCCCTAATCTTCTGAAAACAGATGGTAGAATTTGACTAGCATAATGCCTACTGTTATCGTTCAATTTTTACCGAGAAAAAAAGCAGATTACTCTTGTTTTACAATTTCTTATCCTCTCCGTTAACACGTCGGAATCCAACTGGCAGCAATCTTATGAAATACAAACATTACAGCTGAAGTCTTGCTTTCTAATATATTATTATGAGTCAAAAAGGCATAAATGTGCAAGAAACATTTTGTTGTTCGGTTCCCTCCCAACATAAATTGAAACATCTGTATATTTACCACTTTTGTAAACTTTCCGTAGTTTGACGAAAGGCCTGAGGACAAATCAACTATATTATTTATTTTGTATAGATGTTGAGAATGTGCTTTAAACGATCTCATCTCTTGCGAACAGCTTTTTGACTATTCGCTCGAGAAAGATATATATACGTACGTAAGTGGATCAGAACCCGCTAGCAAATGACATCGCCGCAGCTTACTTGAGTAATCCTTCAATACTCTAATAATAAATCATAAGACCGCTGCCGATAAATTGCTGGATACTGGATCGTAGACTGCAATTGTGTTATCCAATTCGTATTCAAATACATCCAGCAGCTTATATGGACAATAAGGTTCAGCAACGTTATCTCCGCCATTGAGTGAAAAAGAAAAATGTGTTCCGGTATACTAAGACATCCATAGGTCTAACGAAGAAATAATACAAGGCGTCTACACATTTTATACTGCCACTTTTACCTCTCTTTACACCAATTACTTGCCTAGTGTTTCACCTACAATCCCTCTTTCATTATCGTTTACCTCCCACTCGGTTACGTTTTAGCCTAAAACGCTCGAAATTAAGTAGCCCTTTGGATCTCTAACCGGAACGTATTGACGTCTTTCGCGGCTAGATTTTTCTCATTGACACGTAATGTTGTCATGTTGCCTTCCAATCAAGCATGAATGTAAATTTAATCAAAGTGAAAGTATTTATTATCTCTCCGGATACATTCTTCCATGATTCACAAATAGCAATCTATCAGCATCGCACAATTTCGTGCCCTGAGCCTTCTTTGATTATGTAATAAGCGAGCACGTTCCTTATCTCAGTTAATAATAGCTCTATGTATCAGACGTGGGGTAATATGCAAGACAGTAAATTTCGGATTTTGCCTTTTCTTTATGCTTAAACTGGTGTGTATTGATGCTTAGAGACGACTTCCTTAATGTACATGGCATGATTTGAACAAATAAAAACAACACCTTAACCTCAGATTCTCAAGAGAATTTTTGCTTATTAGTGGACTGGAACTTTCTGCCCCCTTTCGCTCGAAAAAAGGTTGTAATCTATAACGTCATTTTCGAAGTAACATTTTCAGCTCGACTAGCTTATCCTGTCAATCAGATTCTCGCAGATAAGCAACTACTGCGATCAACTTTATCTCCCAAGTCGTATGCGAATTATCTAGATTTAGAATATATCTCTTCTTTGACTAAATCATTTGGTTCAATATCCAACAATTTGTTGAGATCGTTCGTATTATCGTAGATTCATATAGATAGCTCCCCTTTGACTCAAAACATATGCGTCATTTGGTTTGGTTCAATCTCTAACGATCGTTCAGTACCTTGTCGTCTTGTAAGCACTTTGTATATATTTTTCACAAAAGCGCTTCGCAAAAGGCCTTCCAGATCGAGACTCACTTGCAAGCGGTCTCTTTCGTGATTGAAATTTTAATTCCTCGTTTAAACTATGCGTCAACAATGCCAGTAGAATAGGAATTGTCACATAAGAATTGAGCATTGGTTGGATATTTAACTATCGCGAGGAACTTTTATTCACAACGAGGTGGTTGGATATTTAACAAACTTATTCGTATTTCGTATGACTTTTTTTATAGGAAGGGATTGACACTTCTGCATCGTGTGCATGACATGTGGTTTGTTAACAGACGGGTTATCCCATAATTACATTGTAGAACACTTTGATGGTCACAAGTCATTCGCGGAAATACAAACACCTGATGGTGGTGTCTGTTTGTATCGCAGAATGTAAACCCTTTCACATGCGATCATTATGATTGGATCAAGTAAGTGATCAATTTCTCTCACCCATCAATCTCTCTCGCTCAATAGCATCAGCATCCCTTTTTTTTCTCTCAGTAATTTAAAATAAATTATTATGGCAGCGGAACTTCGTTTTGATGGACGTACTGTTGTGGTCACTGGTGCTGGTGGTGGTATGTATGTTACTATGTGTTTCGGGGTTTGTGAAGGTTTATGAGCTAGCAAGAGATGCATGGACATTTGAGTTGTTAAGCCATTATGTGAAGACTTATTGAATTCCCATTGATCGCAACAAAGCCATCGAGACAGCTATCGAGACAGCCATCAAACGACAACATTCTAATAAAATTACTCTTTCTATTCAAAGGTCTTGGTCGTGCATATGCCATTGCCTTTGCCCAGCGCGGTGCTAATGTAGTTGTTAATGACCTCGGAGTCTCCCGCGCAGGCGATGGTACATCGTCTGCAGCTGCTGACAAAGTTGTCGAAGAAATTAAAAACTTTGGAGGAAAAGCTGTCGCCAATTACAACTCTGTTGAAGACGGAGACAAGATCGTTGAGACTGCCGTCAAGGCTTTCGGACGAATCGATATAATCATAAACAATGCAGGGTAAATATTATCAGAGAGGATTTGGTCGATTTTGTATAGTCGGAAGAGACTCAATAAAGTGAATATGACTCGTTATTAATGATGATTTTCTACAGCATTCTTCGAGACCGATCATTCGCCAGAATGACTGATCAGGATTGGGATTTGCTCATGGCAGTCCATGTACGCGGATCATACAAAGTCACAAAGGCCGCATGGCCATTCTTTAAAAAGCAGAAATTTGGTAGAATCATAAACACTGCTTCGGCAGCAGGAATCTACGGCAACTATGGTCAAGCCAATTACAGTGCTGGTATGTCATAGAACTAATATTCCCAATCTGGAGAAATTTTTTCACAGCAAGTCTAATACAAGTTTACATATTCTTAAACCTTATTCTAGCAAAACTTGCCTTGGTTTCATTTACACGAACCTTGGCTATCGAAGGAGCAAGTTCCAACATCCATTCAAATGTGATTGCCCCGATCGCCGCTTCTCGTATGACCGAAACCGTCATGCCACCCGACGTGCTTGAGGCTTTGAAACCCGAATTCATATCACCACTCGTACTTTATCTATGTCACGAATCTACTCAAGAAAGCGGTTCTCTGTTTGAACTCGGTGCCGGGTTTGTGGCAAAACTGCGATGGGAACGATCGAAGGGAGCTGTATTCAAGGCCGATGAAACCCTTACACCTGGCGTTATTGCAGCTAAATGGGAAGAAGTCACGAATTTCCAGAATCCAGACTATCCCAACAAGACAACAGATCTCAATCTCCTCGAATTGTATGAACAAGCCAAGAATCTTCCATCTAACCCCAAAGGTGATGACTTGAAATTTGATGGGAAAGTAGTAGTGATTACTGGCGCCGGTGGTGGGCTAGGTAGAGCGTACGCTTTGATGTTTGGGAAACTCGGAGCTTCGGTGGTTGTAAACGACCTTGGTGTACTAACTAACAGTCAAGGAAAGTCTGTCAGGGCTGCTGATCTAGTTGTAGATGAAATTATTGCGGCTGGTGGCAAGGCTGTTGCTAATTACGATTCCGTCGAAGAGGGTGAAAAAGTAATTGACACTGCAATCAACGCATATGGACGTGTAGATATTCTTTTAAACAACGCTGGGGTTTTGAGAGATAAATCATTCATAAAGATGTCCGATCAGGACTGGGATCTAGTTCAGAGAATACATTTACGAGGAACATATAAAGCAACCAAAGCTGCATGGCCGTATTTCTTAAAACAAAAGTATGGTCGCGTAGTTAATACGGCTTCATCTGTTGGACTTTACGGTAACTTTGGGCAAGCCAATTATAGTACAGGTAAGACTAACTGACAATCAGCAGACATTACTGTTTTGTATATTACTTGATAAATAATAACTGTTTCCGTCCTGAAGCGAAACTCGGCATACTTGGCATTAGCAACACTCTCGCTCTCGAAGGTGCCAAGTACAACATTCTGGTTAATACAATTGTACCTACCGCAGGTACTGCCATGACAGCAACAATTTGGCCAAAAGAACTGGTCGACACATTAAAGCCCGATTTCGTTGCTCCACTTGTCGGCCTTCTTTCGCACGAGAATTGCCCAGCTACTGGTAAAATATTTGAAGTAGGTGGCGGTTGGGCTGCTCAAGTCCGTTGGCAACGCGCTGGCGGTGTCGGTTTCCCTACGTCTAAACCACTCAGGCCAGAAGATATTGCAGCCAAGTGGGATAAGATAACCGATTTTGATGATGGTCGTGCCACACATCCTACAACAACACAAGAAGCATTACAGCAGTTCTTTGAAAACTTTGCTAATACCAAGTCATCCGACGAAGAAGGTTCTACTTCTGGGGAAGGGAAGATTAATGTTGAAAAGGCCAAGGCACTGAAATTACCATCATTAGAACATACATATACTGCTAGGGATGCTATTATTTATGCCTTGGGTCTCGGAGCGACTAGAAACGATTTGCAATGGGTTTATGAAAATAATGAAAATTTCTCGGTTTTACCAACATACGGCGTTGTTCCTGGTCTTGCTACCGTATTCTCTATAAAACTGGAGGATGTAGTTGGTGACTTCAACCCGGTTAGTTACAACTGCTTTTATATATGAACGGAAGACTTTCGAGCGATAAAGTGATATTAATCCTCAACCCAATACTAAATACTTTATTTTTTTTTTATGCACATATAGATGATGCTTCTACATGGAGAACAATATCTTGAAATTAAAAATCTCATCCCCACCTCTGGCAAACTAATTTCTACACCTTACATAGTTGACATTCTTGACAAGGGCAAAGGTGCTTCGCTCGTAATTGGTGTAACTACAAAGGATGAAAATGACACAGAGATCTTTAAGAACGAAATCACGCTTTACATTCGCGGCATCGGAGGCTTTGGAGGAAAAAAGACAGGAACTGATCGGGGGGCAGCGACTGCTGCAAACGTTCCACCAAAACGAGCACCTGACGCAACAGTTCGGGAGAAGACCTTTGAAAGTCAGGCTGCTTTGTACCGTATGAGTGGTGATTATAATCCATTGCACATTGATCCAAACATGTCTGCCATGGGAGGTTTCGATGTTCCCATCTTGCATGGACTGTGCTCACTTGGTATTTCAGGCAAGCATATTTTGACAACTTTCGCCAATGGTGATTCTAGTAAATTCAAGAGCATCAAGGCCAGATTCTCAGCACCCGTCTATCCCGGAGAAACGATTGAGACTCAATGCTGGAAAGAGGGTAATAAAATCACTTTCCAGACTAAGGTTGTTGAACGTGACGTGATTTGCATCAGTGGCGGAGCTGTCGAATTAAAGGGAGATTCCAGCTCTGCTGGTGGAGACAGTAAGCCCGCTGGTTCTAATGCAGGAGTGGCCGTACCTGGATTCAAGTCATCCGCTATATTTGAGGCTCTTAAGGCTTCCATTGATTCGGCAAGTCCTGCTCAGAAACAAGCACAGGCTAAGAAAGTCAAGGTAAATTTTGGAATGGAAATAATTGTTTTGGTTATTAGGTATTGTTGCTTTTCTGATAAAAAAAAAATTTTTTTTCCATCCCTCTCTCTAGGGTATATTCCAAGTTGAAATCAAAGGCGATGGTGGCAAGTCTGCCACTTGGTACATTGATCTCAAGGAGAATCCTGGTGTCGGGGTTGGGCCAAGTCCGAAAAAACCTGACGCATCCATCACCATTTCGGATGCCGACTTTACAGATCTAGCAACTGGCAAGGCTATTTCACAAAAATTGTTCATGGCTGGTAAACTCAAGGTTCGCGGTAATATGATGCTTGCCACTAAACTCGGCGAGGTTGTTGGTACCAAGTCCAAGATGTAAAACATCCATTTGTAAAAGAGGGCTATGCATACTGTTTGCAAATTCCGAAGAATAGAACATTTCAACTGTTTGCAATATATATTTCAATAAACGGTTATAATTTAGGAATAGAAAAAATTACTTTTTTTTTGCATATCGTTAGGAATCGAACGTTTAAGTGCGTATCAATAAAATACGGGTTTAGAACATTTGCGCTCGGGCAAGTCTTTAATAAGATAGACATCGTGTTTACGACACACTTCAATTGACCGAATTGGGTCATAGTATTATCAGCTAGAAATTATCGGGGAGCATTCGCTCATCGTTTAGACGACCTTTCTGAAAAGCGAGTGGTCGTATAGAATGTAACTAATATCGCCGAAAAAATTAACCAAATCATCTGTGGGTTTAAATTGACAACCGACGAATTACTACCACAAATCACATCAACGTCGTGCACCAATTTTATTTCGGAATCTTATTAACAACTCACGTCGAACATATTGTCATAGAATTTCATGAAGTGTTGAAGAAAGCAAGGAAAAGTATTCCGATACATTTGCAAGTTTGAACTTTCTAACTACCGCACTCGAAATCTGTGCTACTCTATCTCAGTTCACTTGATCAAATCGCCGCCGTTACAGCACTTAGAATTCGGCCATTACACAACCCCGTCGACCAAACGTCTGCTTTAAATCAAATCCTGTTAATTCTTTGATACTCTCTGATAATATGATTGGAGTTGCAGGAGCAACAGCATTGGCAAAGGCTCTAGCATCAAATTCATCTCTGCCTTCTTTGGATTTTTCCTCTAATCACATTGGAGATGCAGGAGCAACAGCATTGGCAAAGACTCTGGAATCAAATTCATCTCTAACTTCTTTGAATCTTCAGTCTAATAAGATTGGAGATGCAGGAGCAACAGCACTGGCAAAGGCTCTGGAATCAAATTTATCTCTGACTTCTTTGAAGCTTTTTTCTAATCAGATTGGAGATGCAGGAGCAACAGCATTGGCAAAGGCTCTGGAATCAAATTCATCTCTGACTTCTTTGAATTTTTCCCTTAATCAGATTGGAGATGCAGGAGCAACAGCATTGGCAAAAGTTCTGGGATCAAATTTATCTCTGATTTCTTTGAAGCTTTTCTCTAATCAGATTGGAGATACAGGAGCAACAGCATTGGCGAAGGCTCTAGAATTAAATTCATCTCTGATTTCTTTAGATCTTAGGTCTAATCAGATTGGAAATGCCAGAGCAACAGCATTGACAGACTCCAGAATCAGATTGGATATGCAGGAGCAATAGCATTGGCAAAGGCTTTATAATCATAAATATTGTATTACCATAAATTCATAATAAACAGATAAAGATTTGTCATGGAATGAGTTTTTGAATCCTTTATTGGTTTTGTCATGAAATGAGTGTTACCAAAATTATTTAAAGCCACATACTAATTTTCATTGATTCATTCATTCAAAAGCAGTTATGGGAAAATTTTTCAATCCTTCAGTTTTAAAAAAATGTTGGAAAATCCAACTGCAAAAGGGAAATACTAAAAAAGATACTAAAAATGTTTAAAAAAGCATTGTGAACATTAGAGTTGAAATATAATGTGATTGCAATGAGGTTATGGACTGTGTGAGTCATATTTGTATTAGCCTCTGCATATATGAAACGCCATGTTAGATGGCGTTTGGTTTGTACCTTTTTTTTATATACTATTTTTTTTCTATAATTGTGTGTTTGTTGGTTTTTTTTTTCACTGTTTTTATATTCCTTCTTCCACATATTTTTTCTAAGATTCGGGGGGGAGGAATAGCGCCAAGCGTGAAGTACTTAATGTTTACCTAAACTTAACATTAAAATTCATAATAATATATATTATAACATTGTCATAGGACATATTATATATTAATTAATATCGGAATTGTTTTCGGTCAGTGAATTAGTCAGCAATACTAGCTATAATTATTAATTTTGAGGGAGATAACTGTCGAATCTCACAAGAAATTCCCAACTACCCAACATGAGTCATTACCTATGCGGAATATTATCCATACGCAGCGGTTGTTAGCGATGACAATGTAATGTAAAGGCTGAGTTACCTCTTCGATGTGCTAAGTGAGATAACCAGTACGAACGATATATCGTTCGATATATTTTATCTAACATTATACTTACGCTTTCGAAATGACATCTTTTATAGACACTAGAGGTAATAGCATCTCTCATTCACTTAACACCATCGGCACTTATACTTAGCCATTATGTTAGTTAAGAAAGTTAGCCACCAACGGAAAGACTCGCGCTATTTGAGCAGTCGTACTTGAAAGCATAATCACATGCTACTACGGGAGGCAATCATTTCACTGACAAATATTCACCAACTTTATTTCAAAGTTTTTTTTTTTTGGTAGTTGATTGTCGGTGAAATAATACGGACCCGTTACCACTTATTCACAGCAATAACTGATATTTCAGGCTGATCTTCAATTATTATTGTCAAGAATACTTTAAAATTACTTTATTCGTATATCATAAGCCTGTCACACATGCTGCTTATTGCCAAACCCCTTCTAAAAGCAAATACTATCATCAAACAACCCATGTTTATGTCATTTTCTTCAATAATAGATCTCTAATACACATTGTATACTAAGAAATATTCACGCTTTACCATACATAACTGCTTTGCCTTCGCTGTACATAAAAGAATAGTCGATTTTTTCGCTGCTGGACAAGCTAAGCTATGCACAATCCTGGAATGCAGTCCTTAGATAGAAAAGCGTCTTTTTTTGATATTACAATACGTTATGAGAAATATTATACACTAAGACATTAATTTGTTATTACATTATACCTATATTTCTACTACGACTCAATAAACAGCTTTACGTATGCTGACATTGATTAATCTGTCCAGATATAATACATACGAATAAAGACATATTATGTTATATATGATATTACAAAAATAATTTTGCCTCCAAATATATAGTTATAGTCACACTTTTTTCCGGCATCAGTCCAAGCTAGTCCATTTGTGTTAGTTATTTCGACGATTGGACATAATAACATACAGTATATACTGGTATATCCTTCTGCATAACAGCAAGACTCATCGCTGGCTTATTAGAAACAAAAACACCTCCCCCTATTAAAATTAAATTTAAAAAGTCTTAAAATACTGGTACACATTGACTCCGCTGTTATTCGCGTATTGACATAAAAAAATAAAACATAAAACAAAATTTCAGAGCAAACGAAATATTCCTAGAACCTATTCACGCCCGTCCAAGTAGAAGTTTCGTCCCTCCAGACTACTTTATTCTTTCCTGACGCTGTAATTGAAACGTCTGGCATAAAATAGCAGCAAGTATATTAGGCGCAAGGCATAGTGCGAAAATACTGTCTTTACGCGGTTTGACGTGTACGCTTTATTAAAAAACAAACCGATAAAGTATTTTGATACAATAATGTGTATAGTAGTGACAATAACGTCATGAAATTGTACACAATTTATAATGTACTAAGCTACTTTTGCATCTAGTATTGTTTCTTCATAGCCATTTTGTCATGAATACCGACATGTGTATCCCCAAACTTAGCAGTAAATGAGGCAATATAGACGTGCCGGAAAATAAACAGGGTAAATTAAAGTACGTACATAATAATAATGTTTTTGGAGTGATAGTAATAGCAGATGCGCTGAATAACTTCTAAGGGGCAGACTATTAAAAATTTAATAATTTTCTATCAGCCTACGGGCAAGTTACAATATTAATAAGACAAACTTTAGGGCGTAGGAAATGGGTGTGTCTTTATACATCACACAAAAAAATTGTTGTAATGTTGTCGAGGTACTGCCGCCTCAACGTGGTAAGTTGTTGACAACGACTATTAATACTTTGAGGTTAACCAGAGCCTTTTATCACTCTTGTAAGTGACAATAATAACGATATGTTGACACAGTCGGAAACGGACAAAACGGGTTATTTTGTATCGTTAAATTTAGTTATGCGCGATATATTAATCTATTTAACATCTATTATGTAGGTTTTTAGGAGCTGGTTCCATAGATTGATGTGATGGATAGTGAGTAAAGATCGTTTACTGTTTTCTATCGGCGAGTATTGCGGATGTATTTACCCATGTTTGCGTACGAAAGTATTATTTACGCCATACGGCAAGTTTCCTTTTGCTATGCGGACGGGTTTTGCTTGTCAAGTCGTTTTAACTTTGTTACTTCTAACAAAATAGCGATAGATACTGATTACAATTTATGCATGTATTAGTTATACGATGGATTGATATTATTTTGAATATAAGTTGTACAAGTAATGATATATGTATAAATTCTCGCCTTCTCTTACTCTTTGTAAAGCATCAGTGGATAATCTTATTTTTGGTCGTATACTATCTATAGATAAATATCCCAGAGTAAATTGCTTAATGTACAGTGACAGTAAATATAGTGATGATAGATAATATTTTTTATGAATGTCATATTGGATAAAAACCTTGAGTGAGATAATACAACTGATAATTTCAAAAATTTAAGAGTAAAATTAAAGGCTTGCGTATTTTTACTACAAGAGTGAGAGCAGTTAGTTGCAGTGTTTAGAACTATTACAACAGATGAACGTAAAAATCAAGATTACTTTATCGTGCTAGCTAACACGAGATGACGATAATTAAAATTTAGCCTTAGCTCTGAGAAGTTTTCATCACGAGGTTTTTCCATCTCACGTTTAATATTATTTTCATATGATATGTTTATCTCGCTTTGATTTTATGTTTTGACCAGGTATATTATTTATATTCAACAGGATGAAGACATAAATACTATGGTAGATTTAGAAGCAGCCACAAGGTATATCGGAGGAAGAAAGTGTCATATGTTCATGGAGTGGAAAAGTGTACGTTTGGAAGAGCTTTGATGTAGCATTGTCAATATTTAGATTCAATTTCTGAAACTACCGACACGGCAACCATCATAACGCACAACCTCGGGACGGAGC